TTTGCCCTCCAATGAGGTGAAGTCCCGCAGTGGACTGATCGTTAAGACACGGTTCCCAGCAGATCACCGAAGTCAAGCATCACTGACTGCGGTCAGTGTGCGGGTGGGTGACCACTTGGATCAGTCTGCGTAGGGACCGAGGGTGTGCGGTATTGGTCCTCGTTAAACTGTGCTAGCGTAAAGTGCTCGACTTCGCGTGCAGGTTGTCGGGCTACCGAAGCGGGGGTGCCAACTGCCATCCCCTCTGCAGGGGATCAAAATTGTGATGACATGTCTTCGGATCATCCTCAGGGATGTTTCCCAGACCGTCGCCAATACCCATTGTGCAACTCTAGTGCGACGTAAATGAACAAATCAATCCAATGAGGTGAACTGGGTTCAATTCCTAGTGATGGCTGGAAGGTACGAATTCCGTAACCGGTTCGCACTGACGACAGTGCTGATATAAAAAAATATTCTCAGTGCTACCACTGATGGATCATGGGTTACAGTCCCCTTGCCGTCAGGGAACAGCCCCCTTGCCCTCATTGGATAACTATGGGAGGTTTTCTTCTCCATGTAACGCAAATGTGGGTTAGTTTCATCACTAAGTCCACCACGAAGGCAAATTTCGCCTAACACTGGATCACTCTTGTTTTCTGGATACGGTTCAAAATTACAAGGTTACAGAGTTGAACATTTGTAGTCGTAAACCCAAAAATTGGGCTGTCAAGCCATTGATGATGATGAAACCTAAAAAATTGGGTCAGCTGTTATAAAAATAAAAAAAATAGTCTCTGTGTCAAAACTATTTAACATATTTGTTTTTTATGTTGTAGATACTGCATGAAACGTTAACTAAGCATAGTTAAAACAAATGTAATTATATTTTCAGTAGGAAAAATAGAGCCAAAATTCAGAATAAAAAAATCTACTATTAAAGGAATTAACAATTTTTAACACAGACTGGCGGAATCTGTGTTTTGGAAGTAAAAGTGGCTAGTTCGCAGAGCCTACCTTTTACCACCATTAAGCCAATAGTCTTAAAATTGATGACTCTTGACCTTTAGCCAACATCAAGGTTCTGCAGGAATGCTTTACTTAAAAAAAAAAAACGTCTAACAGCTGCATTATATTAGTATATACAGAGGTTACCGATATGAATATCATTTAGTATATTCTCAGGTCCTTTTTAAAGGTGGAAAATTTCATAAAAAATAATCGAAAATGACCACTTTTCACTTTCAAAACCCTAATTTAGAGATAACAGGAATAAATCACAACACAGTAATGATAAAGCGAGGGAAGAAAAAATTAATTTAATTTTAACAAGAAGTTTAGCAAACCAAAACGCTCGTGTAAAAGAATATATTAATTTTTTTAGGTAAAAGACGATGGATCAATTCGAATCTTCAGAGTCTATGTCCATGATTGCTCAAAGAACTGTGGCAAATGAGAGAGAACGAGACAGGACAACAAATGTCAATGTAGCATTTTCAATTTTGAGGACAAGAATTCCTACGGAGCCAAAGGATCGAAAGTTATCAAAGATAGAGACTTTAAGATTGGCCACTTCGTACATAAATCATCTCTCAAGTTTAATATCAGCTAGAGCAGAAGGATATAATGGAAGTCAAGTCTGTCATCGAGTTACATATGAACAGTTCTCCCACCATAGAAAGATATGTACTTTTTGCTTAGCAGAAAGCAAACGTGAATATCAGTTAAAAAGATCTGAGAAAAACTGTAAAGATGAACGTTTTAGTAGTTAAAGTGTGACATGTATTTCCTGACAATTATTAAATATTTAAAGAATATATTTTTTACATTGCAATAAAAAATATACAAATCGAATTTTGGAAATTTAAAAAAAAAAAATTCAGCTCATTGAATTCTTTGACAAATCACAGAAATACTCGATTTATACTATTAAAAATATTTAGCAAATTTATTTATCTTGATGTATGAGAAATTCTGTGGAAAAAGATCATAGATCCATGGGCATTATCTCTCTTTTTTTGTCTGATTGAGCAAGATAGAAATCATTAGTAGGGACAGCTCTGGCTTATACTAGACTGACATGCCGATAGAAGGTGTAAGCGAAATTGAAATTTTTAAATGAAAAGAAATAAAATATCAAATAAAATAATAAATATTCAAAACGTGAGAGCTATTTCCAGTTGGGTATACTCTTGTTGTCAGCACAGAAGTTGTATTTCACCTGCAATTGATAGTTTAAAATTACCATAGCTATGAATTACAACTTCTTAGAGTTGACCTTAGAAATCCTGCAAAAGTTGTAATTATAATTATTATTTTTTTAAAATTTTTTTTTTGCATACACATGCTCATAAAACCATAAATTCAGAATATTGGAATTTCAGAATTCATGGACGAATTCAGAATAATGTAGATAGTTTACAACAAATTACAGAGTCAGATGTTAAGAATAACTCATTTTGGTCAAAAATGCAGTCATTATGTTGCAGTATTTTTAAGAAAAAAAGAAAATATTCATTTTAATATATTGAAAAGTTTATAAACAAGTTCAAAGGGTTAAAAGTTTGAAAATTAAAGTAATTAATTTTGAGTTGTAAAGCTTGTTGCTTTACAACTCAAAAAATGTGTTTTTCTACAATACAATTTTAAACTGTATCAATAAAAAAACCGGTGATAATTTTTAATTGAATTAATAACAAATTTTAACCAGTTGCAAACCCTAGTATAATCAGTAGGTTCAAAAAACAAGATTTTTGTTTTACTGATTAAGATTTAGACATCCGAAATAAAAAATTTCTCGGATTCTTAATTTTCAAGCTTAGAAAAATTCTAAACATTATTTTTACAGGAATGTTTACAATTAACTGAAACTGAATGTAAAAATAACTGAAAGCAACATGCTAAAGATAAAAAACTTGGATACACTAATATGCAAATTTGGAGAATTTTACTGGTGCATCATCCAAAATCACTATATTACATTTTACAGTGTAAAATCATTCTGGATGAAAGCCATTTAGTTGATAAACAACAAAACTGAAAATAGATTTTATAAATTATACTTAATTAAACAAGTAATTAATTTGATTTTAATTTCCTCCTTTGATTTGTGCAGTCTTAAAATTTCCAAAACAATTAACTGAAACAAAATGTTACTTGTTGCTATTATAATGACTTTCCTTGAAATGAATAAAAAAAAAGGGTTATGCTAATGTAAATTTTTACTCCAAATCATTCTTTTCAGTAGACTTGAGTTAAAAAAATAAATATGTTCAATTAAAACATTATAAAATAAAATGCATACTTTTGTAATAATCTAACTTAATGATAACCATCGATAATGAACCTTTTTAACTAAAAAGATAAGAATAAATCAGTAGTAAAAATGATTTTATTATCACAGCATGTTTAATCACTCTACTTTTCATAACAATAAACAAACATTTTTGGTCTTTTAAATAATTTCAAATGTGAGTTTAAAACAAATATTTAACATTATAAACTTAGCATGTTTTTTTGATCATTTTTCTTCATGCATATATTTTGAAGAAGGAAAAAAAATGCAGAAAGATAAAGCTAAATAATTATTTTACATTCTTAAACAAATTAAATAAACAAGCTGCCAACAATTGCTAAAATTCTTAAGCATATTTAAACAGAACATTTAAAAATATTTAACAACTTACAAAAACCTTTAAAATTTAATAATCTCAAATTTTCTTATTACTGAAATGCAATAATGTTTTTTTTAAAAATTTGCTCCTGTCTTTTATTTATAGCAATACATAGTTAGAACTTTGATAATTTGATTTAAAGCTATTTTTGATTTTATTGTATAGTTAGGAAATTACATACATTTTTTTAAGATATTGAAAAAAAATTACTAATTATATTGGTTAAATAAAAAAAAAATAAAAAAAAGAGGAGCAGGAAGTTTTTATATAACATTAAAAGCATATTTGCTTAATTAAAAAAACAGAAGAAATAAAATATGAAAAAGTTATTTAAAATTTTTTTTTTACTATTCACTAAATAACAAGACAAAAATACTAATTTTAAAAAAAGAACAAAATTAAAACTTGCTGTTTAAATTTAAGAAAAAAAATTAGTTTTAATCAAAAATACCTAAAAAGTATACAAAAAACAGGGTTACAAATAAATAAAATACCATAAACAACGTCATTGGTAAAAAAATTACAAAATGTCCACTACCAAGAAAGAATAAATATACCATTCTGTTTGCTAAAATAATATAAACAATATGACAAAAGAGCATGTTTTAAAAATGGTACAATTTTTGACATGGACTCCCTAGATATATATATAAAAAAAAAACACTTTTTTGAAAAAGTATATAGGTTTAGACAAAAATACTTTAAGAATATATAAATATATACCTTGAACAAAGTCTTAAATAAAAAAGTAGCCTAATATCCACATAAGCAAGTACTCACCAAAATAAGAAGAGAAAAAATAAGCATTGTTTTTGTTAGTAAGAATAATAATAGTAATTTTATAGATATTGAAATAAGTATAAAGTTAGAATACAGTAGTATACAGTCCTTAAGAAAAATATGTGTACTCCAAAATCTAAATGCACAATTAAACAGATTTAGTTTAATGCTGCATAGAAAAATCTCATAAGAAAAATCTGCAAAAAGGAATGTAAAAAAAGCATATTATTTTGATAATGGAAAACAACATTAGTAATTTGACAGTAGAATAATGTCGAAGAGAAAATTTAATAATTCTCAGTTTGAATTATATGTACATTGAAACATCTGGTTTTAAACAAAAATAATTAATCTAAAAGCCAGCATTAAAATAAAATTATTTCAAACATCCTTAAATAAGCTCAAGGGTAAAAATAAAATTTAAAAAAAAGCTCCTCCCCCCCAAAAAAAGCTTTAAAAAATCAAATATGTTGTAATCCTTAAATTGTGGAAGAGCATGACACATACATAAATAGGAACCACTATAACTGCAAACGATGAATACATAGAAAATAATTGCCAGAGTAAATAAAATTGGTCCCTACTGATAGCGTATAAAATAGATGGTACTTCGAATAAATTAATCGTCATCTATCTAGTGGAAGAATAACCTTATCATCCTCTTTTGGCAAATCCATGTAGAATACAGCTGATTCTACAGACTTTTTTCTTTTTTTCACCTTTGGACTAGAGACAGTATTTGGAGATAGGCACTGGAAGGATAGTTTACTTTTTGAATCTTTGGTTGACTTCTCATTTGGTGTGTCCTTTGGTCCCTTGATGGGTTTCTCTCTTAAGGTGTCTTTTGGTTTCACTTCAGCATTCTCAACTCGGACATCTGGAGTTCCTGGACGGTCCTGGATTGGTTGCTGGTCCTCACTTAATCTGTCTGTGGAAGGAGATGGACTGTTTGCCAGGGAAGTTGAGTTTGCGTGCAGCTTTCGCAAAATTTCTGGTATTTTAGTGTGAGGGAATAAAATTTTTAAGAAGCTCTCAAATATAACAAGAATTAGACGACGGTTTAAAGAGGGGTGTTGAAATACATTGAAAACTAACATGGCACCCTTGAAAGAAGTTTCGTATCCAATTATGGGTTTAAGTTCATCTGCAATAGAAACATTAAAATCAGGAGATGATTATTTTATGTACAAGAAATTTTACTTATTCAAAATACCAAATGATTTAAATCTTGCTTTTTTAAAAAAAATTTACTTTGATAAAAGATGTTAAGAAATATGTTGTTTCAAGATTATTTGGAAATTTAGATGTACATATTTATGCACATTGCATCAAAATGAAAAAAAAGAAAATATATTCAATTTCATTACTTTATCAAGTGCTCGATCTCATACATGCTGGGGTAAATCCAGTACTTTCCCAGGGTCCTGTTCTTGAAAATTTGTAAGAAACATATTTTACGAAAATTATTTTTGTAAAAAACTTAGGTTAAATCTTGTGAAATATATATTTTTACAAAAACCACATTATAAGATTTTATAAACATTTAAATACTGAAAATCTGAAACAAACTAATTTGACGATTGTTAGAAGACATCACATATTTTTACTGCAAGTTTTTTTGGTAGTTTTAAATACAGTTTTATGAATAATTCACACAAGAATACATATTTCCACGTATATGAAAATTAATTTTTGAGATATAAGCATAAAAAGAAAATTGAACATTATTTATGCATAATACAAAAATCGCTTTTTGAAATTATCATTATCAAAATTTATACCTTTGTTAAAGGTTCATTTGTAGTTAACAAGAGTAATTTTTGGGGCTTGGTTTTTAATAAAGGGTTCATTTTTGAGGTTCAGTTAAAAAAATTTTTTTTTTAAGGTTCTGGATCTTTGTGCGAAATCTGTTAGTAAATAAGTTATTTTGGATTAACCCTCTATAAGAAGGTAACAAATTGGTATAATTTAAAAATCAGAGGCTTAAAACTAAATCATTAAATTCCTAAAAGAAAATAATAAATTCTAATACATAGCAGGAAGTACAAAAAATTTAATTAATAAAAAGATCGACGATGAAATCACGCAAATAGGACTCTTTAAAAAAGAGAAGGTCAAATAAGTGTTTCGGTTGTTATAATAAATAAGATCGCAGGTTAAAATATTGGATTTTAAACTTTGTGGAAATTGATAGCAATCACTGACAAAAAATTGATAGAAATATAATTGAATCATTACGCCAAAATATGTCTAAAATATATCGGAATTAAATATACATTGGTTGGTCTAAAATATACATTGTGTCTAAAATATATCGGAACATTTTAAAGCCGGAATAAAATCAATATCAATAACTGCCAAAAATACAATCAAACACCACACAGTTTTATGATACTCTTGGCGTAAATTGAGTTTGCAAAGTTCTGGACCAATGTCGCCTTGTCACTGCAATTTTGTTACAGGGTATAGTAATGCTGAAAAATTAAGGACTTTTAAAAACCTTATACCATAATTAAGTACTATTAAGAGTCCTTATTTTCCAAAATAAAAATTAAGCAGTTTTTAAGGACCGAGGGAACCCTGTAATACATAGAAGTAAGTACAGAAAATAAACTTTTTACTCTATATTTTAGTTAATTTTACAGTTTTAAAAGTTAGTAGAACACAACTACCTAACATAAATAATTTAGAAATATACATATTAAACCTAAGAGCACCCATTGAGCATGTTTAAACAAAAAAAATTTTTTTCCATCAAAAATCTATTTTTTGAAAAATATTGATTTTAAAACCAATTAGGCAATTTTGTCAAAAACATGTATTTTGTGGAATATTAGAACAGTTGTCGTAATCCTGCATTGGTAAAAATACTAAACAATTTATTTTGGTATAGTAAATAAATGATTTAGGAGAATTTCCAGGAATGGCATTAATCATGGCCATTTTTGTTACAATAAATAATATTGTATAGTAATAAAATTGTATAGTAAATAATAAAATTGTATAGTAAATAAATGATTTAGGAGAATTACCAGGAATGGCACTAATCATGGCCATTTTTGTTACAATACGGGTTCGCATTTTCGTACTGTAATCTCTTTCAGCAGCTGGATTTCTAAGATGTCCATCAGGCCATATACTTTGGCTGTAAGATAAATAACATGTTTTTAGGAAGAAAATTATGAATGCTACGATTTTTGCAAATGGCTACTAGTTTTTTAGTAAATATTACCATATAGTTTTCAACCATTCAGCAATTTGAGATGTACTAGTCAGGCCTTGCACATATTCTTTAATTTTCCTAAAAGAAAAAAAATAGGATAAAACCTTTTGATATTTTAGGTATACAGTCTAACTTTATTTACCGTAACACATTTAACAATAATTTATTTTAAAATAACTAGCTTTAATATTGTATATAAATGAAGATTAAGGGGGAAGAAAGATTAATGTTCATAAAAGCTGATTCTAAGAAAAAACAAATTTCAAGGCATGCAGAAACTTTCCGACAAGCACGGCCCATCTTCACTCTCGTAGCAAACCGATTTTCCATGTTATTGATAAGAAAAATTTAGTAATCCTCAAAATACAACTAATGATGATCAAATTGTCATTTCTTTGTGATAAATGGACACAAACTGCTCTTTCCTTTTGATCTTTAAAGATGAAGGTTTTAAGTATTTATAATATCAATATGCAATGGAAAAAATTTACTTTTAACATGAACAGAATTTTTTTTCCATGCTGTTATAGATCACTTTGATGAATCACTAGTGTATACCAACAAGAGTAGGTAGTTTTGAAAAATATTTCATATCTTTTGCAACAGTGTTGATTATTTCCGCATTAAAGTATGGAAGAAAAAGAGACGAATGAAAACAAGACTTATCAAAAACAAAATCAAATAAAAAAAACCCACAAGGAACAATTATTGATTATTACTACATTTATAACTATTACTTTTTAAGTTTTTTTAAATTAAAAAGTTAAAGTGGGGAAAATATAGAGAATAAAGTTTTTGTTTACACTAATATATTGTGCTGTTCTTTCAATTAAAAGTTAATAATTTTCATAATTATGCAATCGATAGAAGGTTTTATGAACACCTATTTCATTTGAACAAGCTTTAATTGAATCAATGCATAAATGTTAAGAGAAGAAAATATAAATTATAAAAATTTACCTATTAATGGCACCTCCTTGCATAGTTTTGATAATTTGACGTAATAAAGTCATTATTCGCCTACGGAACCACAGGTCTTTGTTCCTCAAGTTAAAAACCTCATCCATAAGAAGTAGAATAATTCTAAATGGTATATCATCTGCCTATTCAAAAATAAAACAATAAATCATTGAGCATTTTACATTTCACAAAATAATAATTAAAAAAAATGCTTATTAATTGACCAAATTAGTAGAAAATAGAATCTAGTAATCTTTCAACTAATTTTAATAAGCGATATTTTTTGTTGTTGATCCCTGTCATTGAAATCATAAATGATTCTACTAAATAGCAGCTGTTTTAACTCATAAATGATTCTAAGAAATACATAGAGCCCTGTTAATAAAATGACAGAAGTTCTATGAAGAATAATTATTGGATAAAACAAAGAAAAAAATAGTTTTCTTTAAAAATTTTAGGATTAAATAAACGAATCCATAATAGTGAAAAAAATTAATAAACGATTGATTCCAGAACCATTGTCCTGAATTTCGGATAGCATGTGAAAAGGGTAATTTTAGCTTCCGGTCTTTAAAACTTTCAACTTATCTGTTCAGGAGAGACTTAAATGAATTTTCTCCCTGGGTTAGAATTAGCCATTGTTATAAATAAACCACTAACGATTCTGTTCATTCAAATATTTAAAAGATAATATCTATGTTTGTTAGCTTACAGCTCTTTTTAATAAAAAAAAAAGAGTTTATTCCCTTTTCTTTAATGCTTAATTATTTTTTATTCGTTATTTCAGCTGCTAAGCTCAATGATCATTGTGGATGGCATGCCAGGGCTACATCACTTAATCAGTATTCTTAAAGTTATCTGAAACTACATGTTTGGTTTTGGTAGTCAGGGGTCTATCCAGGCCAAATTTACTACCGTTTAGCGGTACCTTCACAAATTCAATTTTAGGTGAAACGGTAGTTTCACAAATTCAACTTTAGGAAAAACGGTAGTTTCACAAAATACTTTTTCTTAAAATGTTATTTTTGTATCCCTTAAGAAACGATAAATCTATATTTTTACCATGTTTTNTAACAATAATTTATTTTAAGAGAACTAGTTTTAATATTGTATATAAATGAAGATTAAGGGGGAAGAAAGATTAATGTTCATAACAGCTGATTCTGAGAAAAAAAAAATTTCAAGGCATGCAGAAACTTTCCGACAAGCACGGCCCATCTTCACTCTCGTGGCAAACCGATTTTCTATGTTATTGATAAGAAAAATTTAGTAATCCTCAAAATACAACTACTGATGATCAAATTGTCATTTTTTTGTGATAAATGGGCACAAACTACTCTTTCTTTTTGATCTTTAAAGATGAAGATTTTAAGTTACTTATAATACCAATATGCAATGGAAAAAATTTACTTTTAACATGAACAGAATTTTTTTCCATGCTGTTATAGATCACTTTGATGAACCACTAGTGTATACCAACAAGAATAGGTAGTTTTGAAAATTTAGTAATCCTCAAAATACAACTAATGATGATCAAATTGTCATTTCTTTGTGATAAATGGACACAAACTGCTCTTTCTTTTTGATCTAAAGATGAAGTTTTTTTTTTACTAAAACCTGCTAACTAAGGAAGTTGTTAACACCCATTGGGTGAAAGAAAACTGTAAGTAAATATTAAAAATACAATGCTTTCTTTTACTTTATAAATGATGGTTCAGTCATGCCATCTTTCTTTCCAGATTGTTTTCATTCATAGTATTTATAATATCAAAATGCAATGGAAAAAATTTAATTTCAACATGAACAGAATTTTTTTCCCATGCTGTTATAGATCACTTTGATGAGTCACTAATGAATACCAACAAGAGTAGGTAGTTTTGAAAAATATTTGACATCTTTTGCAATAGTGTTGATTATTTCCGCATTACAGTATGGAAGAAAAAGAGATGAATGAAAACAATCTGGAAAGAAAGATGGCATGACTGAACCATCATTTATAAAGTAAAAGAAAGCATTGTATTTTTAATATTTACTTACAGTTTTCTTTCACCCAATGGGTGTTAACAACTTCCTTAGTTAGCAGGTTTTAGTAAAAAAAAAACTTTATACACTATTATTTGTGAACAAATTTCTCTCTCACTCTGACAGGTCATTCTAAAAAACTGGTATCAAGATTTATCTATTTCTAAAGATGAAGACTTATACCTTTCTCTAAATTTGTTTAACATATCGTACTCAGGGATCCACATACATAAAAAAAATAAAAAAACAGAACTTTTGGAAGACTTTTCAAAAACAAATGCAAATAAAAAAAACTAAGGAACAATTATTGATTATTTATAACTACTACTTTTTAAGTCTTTTTTAAAATTAAAAAGTTAGAAAGGGGAAAATATAGAGAATAAAATTTTTCAGCTTCACTTACCAATATATTGGGCTGTTTCTTTCATTTAAAAGTTAATAATGTTTATAACTTCTAAAGTAATTAGGCAATTGATAAAAAGTTTTATGAACACCTATTTCATTTGAACAAGTTTTAATTGAATCAATGCATAAATGTTAAGAAAAGAAAATATAAATTATAAAAATTTACCTGTTAATGGCACCTCCTTGCATAGTTTTGATAATTTGGCGCAACAAAGTCATTATTCGCCTACGGAACCAAAGGTCTTTGTTCCTCAAGTTAAATACCTCATCCATAAGAAGCAGAATAATTCTAAATGGTATATCATCTGCCTGTTCAAAAATGAAACAATTAATCATTGAGAATTTTATATTTAACAAAATAATAATTAAAAAAATGCTTATTAATTGACCAAATTAGTAGAAAATGAAGCTAGTAATCTATTAACTAATTTTAGAAAACTATTTTTTGTTGATCCCTGTCATTAAAATCATAAAAGATTCTACTAAATAGCTGTTATAGCTTATAAATGATTCTAAGAAATACATAGAACTTTGTTAATAAAATGACAGAAGTTCTATTAAAAATAATTATTTGACAAAACAAAGAAAAAAAATAGCATTTTTTTTTAGAATTTAATGATTAAATAAACAAATCCATAATATTGAAAAAATTAAAAAGATTTATTCCAGAATCGTCGTCTTGAAATTCAGATAGCATGTGGAAAGGGTAATTTTAGCCTCTGGTCTTTAAAATTGAATAAACTTTTCAATTTATCAGTTCAGGAGAGACTTAAATGAATTTTCTCATTGGTTTAGAATTAGCCATTGCTATAACTTAAACTGCTAAGGATTCTGTTCATTCAAATATTTAAAAGATATTATCAATGATGTTTGTTAACTTACAGCTCTCTTCAATAAAAAAAGTTTATTCCATTTTTAGCATTATATTTTTATTCATTATTTCATTTTCTTAGCTCAATAAACTATTGTGAATGGCATGCTATGGCTACATCACAAAATCAGCATTCTTAAAGTTATTTGAAACCACATGCTTGGTTTTAGTAGTGCATTTGAAACATATTTCTACAAAATGTAATAGTTTATAAATGAATGGTAATTGAAAAAAAAAAAATTACATAATGGTAGCAAAATTAATGACGAAAAGTAACATATTTGTTTAGGAGAATTCTAAAAAATTGCCATTGCTGATGCCAACGGTGCTTAATTAATTTGGTAATAGGAACTACTGGTATTTTGGTAATAGATGTTTCAGTTGATATGAAATATAATAATATAGGTTCCATGATACGTAATAAAGATACAATAGCTTTTTAACCCCTTAAACAGAGGAGACTTGCAGGAAAATTTGCTTGTTTGTTGCAAATTATGGCTATCATGAGTTAGCTAGGCGTGGCAGCTGATTCCACTATCATTCTCTTTTGCAATATTACTGTCTATATTAACTCTCTTTGAATGCGAGAGTTTTCGAAAGGAACTAGCTCTAGACCTTACACCAGTAGCATAGCTAGCGGAGGGCAAGAAGGGACGTCTGTCACTAGAAGCAGCTTTGCTTTAGAAGTAGAAGAGCACCAAAATCATGAAAAATAATAAAATATGACTTACAGGGTAAATAACCACAACTTTACTTGCTAATTGAAGGCCCCATAACTTTTTCACATTTTTATTAGACTGATCTAAACTGAACTGAATGTCTATTCATATTGTAGTGTGTTTTGCTAACAGTTTTTTTTTCAATTATCATTTTTCACAAATTGGTGATATGTCGAAGGAAAAATCTTTAGAAAATAATAATAAATAAAAAACAATAAAAGCAATGGAAACATTTAAATGTAATATAAACTTACACTGTTAAACTTTAAAACAAACAAAGGAAAATTTTAGAAGTTAACAAATCATGCAGACTTAAAAATCTTTACATACGTTGCAGATTCTTATTCAATGCATTTTTTTAAGCAATGCGAAGTGCGATTGAAATTAAATTTTTACATTATCTAAAATTTAAAACGGATTCGAAAAGCTCTTTTTTAAAGTTCTACACCATATTACAAAGGGCACAGCATTCTTTTTTTGTTAATGGCATAAACTTTAACTGGTTGACTAGCAAGAAACATAAAGGGAAAAATTGCATGCACTAACACGTGTATCCTTAGGGATTGTTGGGTTTTCTTCAGATGAATTATCCATGATGCTATTCTTTAGAAAAGCTTTTTTAAAACCATCTTTCAGTTCAAGAAAAGTATCAGGCACTAAACGAGCAAACTGCCCAACTGATTTAACGGAAGTCTTTATAGGAGTCACAAATGTGCCCACCTAAAAATAAAAAATATTTATAAAATATATATTCAAAGCTGAAAATAATTTATTGATGAAAATTTTATTCTTTCAATTGAAGACCTCATGTTTAAAAGTGATAACCCACATCCTATAAAAAATTTATTTTCCCTTCTCTAAATGATTATAACCAACAAGAACTTTGATTCTGCTTAAGTCATATGATTGTCTGTTGAGAAATGGCAACACTATACTGGTTTACATGCAAGAGAAAACCCACACCAGATCATTAGAATAAACTGTTTATTTTGAGATAAAAAAAATGCAAAAAATCACTTTTAATTCTATAGATGTTTAATTTTGGGAGATGTTTTCTACCATTAAAATTTAGAAATTAAACTGTTATATTTGTAATTTTGATTCAAATTAATTTTTTAAATTTTTATCAAATATAAACTTTATATTTTTTCAAAGATGGATCATGATATTATAAAAATTTGTGAAGTATCACTTTTAATTTTACAGGTCTTCAATTTTGGTGATATTTACTACCTTTAAAAATTTAGAAATTAAACAGCTATATTTGTAATTTTCATACTAAGTAATTCTACAAATTTAAATCAAATATAAAATTTATCATTTTCTCAAAGATAAACCATGAGATTATAAAAAATGTGAAATATCACTTTTAATTACATAAATCTTCAATTTTAAGAGACAATAGTTACCAATAAAATTTAGAAATTGAAATGCGATATTTGCAGTTTTTATGAAAAATAATTCTTTAAATTTAAATAAAATATTAAATTAATATTTCCTTGAAGATTTTTTATTAATAAAAGAATTATACTTATTAAAAATGCCAAGAAATATTAGATTTAATTACAATGAAAATGACAATTAAATTCTAGAAATTAAATTCCTATACTTGAAATTGAACAGCTGAAATTCAGATTTCAGCAAATGAATAATCCATTTTGTTATGAACAATTTAATCAAGTGTTAAACTATTAAAAAAATATTAAAATAAAAATTAATAGTAGGATTGAAATCATTACAAAAAATTAAATTTTGTAAAACATGAAAATACTTCCCACGCAACAATTATACCTTAATTATACCCAATGCTCAAAATTGGCTAGATATGGGTCTTATATGAACATGCTCTGAAGGACCAATATTAGGATGTCTAGATTTTTTAATATTGGTCTTATGCAGTGTCAATATCGGCCTATATTGGCTGAAAAATGATTATAAAATATCGGTGAATCTGACAATTCCATATGAAGCCAATATCGGTTGTAAAGTGGCAGTAAAATATCGAGTGAATCGAACAATTCTATATAGGGCCCACATCGGAGAAATATCGGTCCTTTGAACATTATTGAGAATATTGGTCTAATGAGGACCTAAAGTTATTTTGATGTTAGGGTTAAGAAAGCTAAATAATAAAACAAGAATTTCAAATACAATCTCTTAATAACATATTTGTTTTGTAAATTTAGGAAAGTTGATAGTCTAAATTGTAAGGGTCTAAGAACTATAATTTTGTTATCTTTTAGATTGTTAAATTATCAACACTTACACTGCGGATGAATGACTTCTTTCCCTTTTCAGGCATATTAGGTTGTAGAAAATTGTATACCATAAGTTTTAAGCCATCGCAAACAGCTAGAATTTCATTTGATAGAATAAACTGCATGAATTCATTTAGCATGTAGCGACGCTTCTCCATCAACTGTCTTGTTAGGTTATTAAATGGCTTTTTAGATGGAAAATTAAAGGATGATAAAACAGGATACTAAAATAAAATCAAATTTATTAGACACATTTTTTCTTGTTATTAATAGCTAAAATCATTATAATAATAACTGAACACTTGGTGTACAAGTACTACTGGGTTAAAAGCACTCATATCGTAGGTGTGCAATATACTTACATAAGAATCAGATTTTGTTAGACATGAGAACAGAACTTTAAATTTAAATAATATTTTATTTCTGTCTAATTCAATATATTTAGATTATCACAAATCCCCAATGGCAAAGATCAGAATTTAAACTAAAATTTATAATGAAACCAAACATTTATGGGTCACTTTAAAATAGCCTGTTACAACCAAGTACTATTAAGAAACAGGATCCGGAAAAAATAAAAGTTCGTTCATACTTACTAAATTATAAATATAACAATTTATTATTTTATATCTGTAAATTATAAAAGTTAGATGATTTGTTTTAAACTGTTTCATTGTCTCTCTGTTGTGTTATTGTGCTTCAGATAAGATTCATGGCTAAAAAATAATTTTTAACAAAAAAAAGGAAATTTTTGACCTAAAAAACATCACAAAGAAACTTTTCTACGAAGATATTACTGAGCTGGAAAGGTGGGATTGCATAGAAATTTTATAAGTTACAAAAATATTGCTCTCTAAAATAGCAGTTTGTCCATTAAAAGCGAGCTATACTCCAATAGACATTGTAACTAAATGAATATTTACAATTTTTTCATTAAATCCAGCTTCTCATTAAATCAGGGCTCATTATTAACAAGTTCAAGTGTACATCTAAACTAAATGTGAGTTTTCACTGTTTCATTAAACTTTAAAAAGAGTTAAAAATATTTTACAGAAAAGCTATGAAGAACAGGTACTACAGAGAATATTAAATAGTTTCAAATAGTTATTGATAACTCAATTGAGATAAAATTTATTCTTATTTTTCTCAATTTCTACACCTCCTTTCTAATTGATGAATTATTTGTAATTTAAGTAAGACAAAAAGTTTTATTTTTCTAAAAGTTTATTCAAAAACTAAATACTTTTACCCAAATATTTGTTTACATTTAAAACAGTATGACACATTGAAAATATTACAATAAAGAAGAAAAAAAAAAGATAATATAAAAAAGAAAATATTAAAATAAACAAGAAATGAACTCAAAATAATACATCAAATTATTATTTAATCGAGTGACAAGTAGATAGATTGGGTTAGGTTTTCAAACATCAAGATGCAAACAAAATTCTTAACAGTTTTAATAAATCATGTGATTTTTAGGAACTAATATTCAAATCCGACTGGATTTAATTTTGCATTTATAATTAAAGAGAGATTTAAAAAGTTATATTCAACAAAACTTAAATAAAGATATTTTTAATTAACTTAAAAATTTGACCTCTACAGTATGTGAATCAATAAAAAATATATGTGTCAAATCATACTTTAATTTTTTAAGTTACTAACTAAAACTAACTCAGTGGCGCGACAGCCCATTAAGAGGGCCAAGGCCGACTGTGCCCATCTCAGTTTTCTTGACCTTGGGCTCTGGGGTGCAGGAGCATATGTTCCGGTCAGGTGGTCAGCCGAACGCGGAACCCCCAGTGTTAGTTCCCAAGCATGCTTGGTACTCATTTTATCGACCCACTGAAGGGATGAAAGGCTGAGTCGGCCTTGCCCGGCCCAAGGATCGAACCAAGGACCTGTGGCACGGCAGCGCGAAGCGCTACCGCTCAGCCACCGGGCGTCTTTTTAAGTTACAGTTAATTTAAATTTTGGTTAGAAGCTGATGAAGAACTGAAAGTGGTTTTCATAAGACAGTGTTTTACATTGCTTTGCAAAATTTTATAAAACTACTAAAAATATTTATAAAATAAAATATAATATGGGAAAAAGTTCTAACCTTATTTGTAATAGCTTCATGGAAATCATAAAATTCACTATATCGACGAACCACAAACCATTTCTCTTCAGACCCATCTAATCCATAGTGAATCACGGAAATTGCATAGACTGCAAATGTTCGCCCAGCATGATGAGTAATTCCTAATTCAAAAACATTGAAAAGATTTAGTGTTAAGATTTTTTTTTAAAAAATTAACAAATTAGCCTTTTTTCAGTAAAAAAAAAACTTTCACAACAATGAAGAAAATACAACAAAAAGAAAAATAAATAATTTTCACATTTTATTTAACTACATTACTAAAAGTTTAAAAATATTAAGTATGTTAAAGTTATGAAGTCAACATTTTTAGAACAATTTTAATTAAGATAGTCATCAGTACATTCAACAAAATAATAGAAACTAGTAGAATTTAAACAAAAATATAGTTTTTTAAAATGTTACTAAATTATCAATTCAAAGTATAGCTGTTGAGGAGTATTTAAGTTGTTTATCTCTTCATGTTATATTATGCACTCATGAGTGAGCTCCAATAATAATCTATATACACATATTTATCTTATATGACACCATAAACTTGGGTGTTCCTCTATGTATTAGCAACATTACAGTTATTATTCATTTTGTTAGGTTTTCTTGTGCAATAATTTAAGAAGTGTTGAAAAGTTATTAATTAGAATAATTTTATACATTGATAAAATAAAAACTTAATCATGAAGCAATTATTTAGATTTATTTTTGATCCTCGCTATAATGGTTGTAGAAATTTCAAACATGGATTATGGTGTTTCAAACTGTCAAATCAATTATTCGAGAGCTTTCATTTTCGAGCAATAGCATATATATTATACTATATTCAAGTTATTGCTCCAGAAGTGTGCGAGGAAGTAGTACAGTACGTAATGGAGCATTCAAATGAGTTTTCCATCTTATCTCACAGCACAGACGGAAATAATTTTAATTATTCTGCTGCATACTAGGCTGAAATGTCCCAGACTCATGAAGGTTTGTGTGATTCAGTGACTGCTGAACAAACATTAAATTACTAAAATTCAATACATAAAGAATTTTGATAATATCGTGAATATCTCTTAAAAATAGTTAAAATTAAAACCAAAGTACGCACAAGCAACAGCAAGATTGTGAAAACAATTGGTTAATTTATATTTAAAATTAATTAAAGTTTTAGGATTGAAAGAGGGGTAAAAGAATTACAATATGCGCTGTGAATCCGATGGTTGTGTATTCGTTGCACAGGGAATCCGGTTTGGTGACCATTCTTATTTAGATGTTGTACAATTATGAAAAGGGACCAAGCTGTTCGCCAAAGGCAGCTAGTAATAATAATAATAAATAAAAAAGTCTTAGACAGATACCTGGTTTATATACATTACTTTTTTGAAAATTCAATTTCTCAGGGACTAGGTAATTTTGCAAAGAGGCACCAATGCGATAAAGAATAATTCAAAGTAAATTAAATGCATACAAACATACTAAAATTCATATGCTCACATATTTACCAGTACTGTGCACTTCTGCAACTAACAAACCAAGTTCTTTTACATCCTCTGATAATGGGCCTGACGACATTTCTGGAAATACATAATCACACTGAGAAATTTCGGTGGTTAAAAACTCATTCAGCATTTCTTCATCAGTTGGGACAACAGTATCACAGTTAAACTGTAAAAAAGAAGTAAAAAGTCACATTAAAACTAACGTAGCTACAGTCACGCAAAACAAATTATTATCACAATAGAAATATATTAAGTGCTCTGTTGTTTATTAATGTCTAAACTGACAATTTTCACTCCGCCATGTGATAAGATTTTTGATCTACATACATTTAAATCACTGAAAAAAACCCCGATCAATAGCTCTATATAATCAATAGCAAACGATCAATAACTCTATATAAAGGATGGGGATACAGCCTTCTCTATATCTTATTGAAGATAATAAATTAGTGCTAAATGTAATAAAGTCAAATCTACAAATAAAAATAAACTAGGTAAACTAAAAATAGTAAGATTAAAACATATACATATATATCAATATATGTTATTTATCATTGGTTTGTTATTTTTTATTGAATAATTTATGATATGACGTTAGTTTACTCCTATGACTCGTCTTTCGGACACACCAAAATCAGAAAGCCAAGACAGAATTCTGCATCTTTTACAGTACTAAATTACATATACACTTCTGAAAATCACAAATTGAATTCTTAACAGCATATTATCTTTAATCAAATGCAGTTAAATATGAATACTCAAACCAATTCCTAAATAATATGATTTATATATTATAAAATTCTGCAGAATGCTAAAGTAAATATGAAAATAGCTATTTTTTTTAAAAATAGAAGTGAGAAACTTTTTACTTTTTGGTAATGCATTAAATTAATTTTTGTATAATACATATTATCAAATGATTAGATTTATCTTTTTTAGTTCTTTACTTTTGTCAATTTTTTAAAAATTTTTTCCTATGGTCTGGAAAAAATGCAGACCTTGGCATGGATACACTATCACACAGATAAACTTCAAATGTAGTAGTTAATATTAAAACTTGTAAACTAAATATTTGAGGAAAAAAATATTTCATTTTTAAAGTAGAATTTTATTACCTTTTCTTCTTCCTCAGACTTTGAAGATGACAAACTATCTGAAAACAATCAAATTGCTTAANTAAGGGGCGAGAAGAAAAAAGATGAAGACAATAAAAACTGTATCAAAAATTATAAATTAAGCCGAAAAATTAGTATTTTGATTAATAAAACGGGATATTTAGAAATTAGGCTGTGACTTAATGTCACAAAAACCATTGAGGTACTGAGGGAGTTAATTTAGGCATTTGCTTCTCCTTCAATTAGAAATGGTTTTGTTTTATGACTACCGGAGCAGGTACCCCCTGAAGACGTCGGCTTCAGTGGTCATATTTTTATTTCCTTCGTTTCCTCTAGGTAAACTAAAAATAGCAAGATTAAAACATATACATATATATCAATATATGTTATTTATCATTGGCTTGTCATTTTTTATTGAATAATTCATGATATGATGTTAGTTTACTTTGATGATATGATGTTAGTTTACTTGATATGATGTTAGTTTACTTGACTCGTTTTCCGGACACACCAAAATCAGAAAGCCAAAACAGAATTTTGCATTTTTTACAGTACTAAATTACATACAAGACATTTACACTTCTGCAAATCACATACTGAATTCTTAACAGCATATTATCTTTATCAAATGCAGTTAAATATGAATACTCAAACTAATTCCTAAATAATATGATTTATATATTATAAAATTCCACAGAATGCTAAGTAGATATAAAAATAGCTATTTTTTTTAAAAATAGAAGAGAGAAACTTTTTGGTAATGTATTAAATTTATTTTTGTATAATACTTATTATCAAATGATTAGATTTATCTTTTTTAGTTCTTTACTTTTGTCAATTTTTTAAAATTTTTTTCCCATAGTCTGGAAAAAATGCAGACCTTGGCATGGATACACTATCACACAGATAAACTTCAAATGTAGCAGTGAATATTAAAACTAGTAAACTAAATAGGTGAGGAAAAAAATATTTTATTTTTAAAGTAGAATTTTATTACCTTTTCTTCTTCCTCAGATTTTGAAGATGACAAACTATCTGAAAACAATCAAATTGTTTAAATTACTTAAATGGCAATGGAATTAAAAAAAATTTAATGGCTGTTAACTATGCATTAGATTTGCATCGTCATCATAAGATCATTTTTAGATAAATTATTAGAATTACACATGACTATTAAAATGAGTAATGTTCCCATCTTAACAAAATGCTGAGTTATGCTGACCTGTGTTGTTGTTCTACAAAAGATGATGATAATAATGAAAAATGGAATACATATTTTTGAGCGATTCTAATTGATCTTCGATTGATAAAAATAAAAGGATAAATTTTGGAAAGGTATTTCTCTAAATAATGAAACATGACAAAAGTAAAATATGTTAGTGAAATTTTGTAGTTTGACACAATGATAGACTTAACCCTAAATGAACCAACACTTTACAATACAATAACTGGTTTTTGGACCAGCTATGGTCTGTTTAGTGTTATTTTATATGTTTAGTGTTACTCTATTACTGTGGGCAGTAGTGTTCCAAGAACCACACACTACAGAACAGCTAGAACTTCTGATCTGTAGATATAAAAAAAAAATTCATGATTTTTATAATAGAACATATAACACCTTTTTAGTCATGCAATGCATGATAACTACATTTTTAAAAGCCATTTAGTACATTGAAGGGCTGACTGAATGATTTGTTTAATAAGCAATGAGTTAGTATGATAAAAATATACTTTATTTTCTTAAAAATTTTTTTTATTCAATAACAATCAAACGTTTTTTTCCCTCAATATTTTAATAAATCATGATTTGTTAATAACAGCGCTTATTAACAAAAATTTTGAAATATTATAAGCCTCAGTTAAAACATTTTTCTGTAATATTTGTAAATTCAAGAATTCAAAATTGTAATTTGTTGAATAATTTTAAATAAATTATTGAATACTTGCTTTATATAATATTCTTAGTCTGTCGTCTCTTTTCTCATTTATTCAACAGTGTTGCACTTAATTTTAAAAAAAAATTCATTTACTAAGAAATCAAACTTTCTTTTAATGAATTATAATTTGTTTGAATTAGTGTTTATTAATAAAAACTTTGAAATATTATAAACTTCAGTAAAAACATTTTTCTGTAAAGTTTGCAACTTCAACAATTCAATAAGATAATTTTTTGAATTACTTTAAATACGTCATTGAATTCCTGCTGTGTATACGAGTCTTAGTTTATCATGTATGTATATTCAACTACTTGTAAATTTTAATGTCTGTCTTTTTAGACTCATGTTTCTAAAAATTATGCTTAAGAAATCAAGAGACCTCATCATTTCAAGTTTCATGGTATAGAATGATTTTAAGTAAGCATTATTACTGTGAATCCAAATGTGACATTAGTTTATAACTTACAGTTATAAACTAATGTCACATTAGTTTTTAACTTACAGTTATAAACTAATGTCACATTAAGATTGATAATTTAAGGGGAATGAATGTGCCAAGGCCAATGCTAACTGGATATAGAAATTTTAAATTTTTGATAAAAAAAAGTCATGAAATAATTTCAGTGAGATTAATGACTGATACAAAGTCAATTAGTTAGCTAATGCTGACTCTATAAAGAAGGTGTGAATTTCTGGCACAATAATGCCTTTGAATGTAATAAAGAAATTTTGGTCAGATTTTGTATTTCATATAACTGAATAAAATATTCTGACAGCTTAAATTTCTGTTTCCAATTCCTTAAATTAGTAGATTTTATTTTACTACAACAAAAAAATCTCATTAAAATAATTCAAAACTTTTTATGACATTAGAAATTCTTATTTGTTCCACAGAGATAACATAAATATCAAAATGGTTAATTATGTAATCCCATAACAGTTTTTCTTCTTTGTAAAATGTGTTGAATACATTAGACTCTTCATTAAATTGGATGATCAAGAAATGCTTTGAAAGGGGATAAAGATTCCAGTCGATTAGATTTGTTAAATTTTGATAAATTTTATTTTAAAAAAATACAGAATAGGAGTTTAATAATATAAATGATAGCATAAAATGAAAAGAAATTTAAGGTTATTTTTAGTTTGTTATAATTAGTTTTACAATTATTTAAAAAGCAGATGAAAAAAAAACAGTGTTTTGAGAGGGATGACTTGCATTTTTGCATCTCAGACAATACACAATACAAATTATCAAAAGTCTACTGAATTTTTTTATTTTACAAACATGTTTGCATAATTTTGGATAAAAATCCTATATAATATGAAACTTGTAGAAGTAAACTATGTAAATAGTTCAATCTAATAAATTTTGTAAGAGTAATAAAAGTAGAATAAATTATTTTACATTTAATTTAATTGCAAATCAGATTTAAAAATATTTCCAAACATAAGTATAGTTTTATTGCTAACACTGTTTTTTTTGCGATTTACTCTCATCTATGCAATTCAATTTTATATCATTGAAAAAATCCTGATGATTTGAGTCCGTTTTAAACAAGTTACTTTGTATTACAACAATAACTTTAAAAACTTTTAATGTTTAAATATTGTTTCCAATGACAGATTTTTAAAAAAGAAAAAACTACGATAGAAAAGTTTCTCAAGCACTAAATACAAACTTATTGTAATTTAGATGGATACAAAATGCAATAGTAAATTTCAACAATTAAATTTATGAGAACCATTAAAACCAGAAAAATTGGAACCTTCACTTTAGTACAAAAGTCTTAGGACACTATTTCTGCTTAAATCTCAAATAAAAGTAGTAGAAGGATCATATATATAAGTTATTGTGATGAATAATATTAAAAAGAAAAATAATATTTTAAAATAGATATGTATTTCTGAACAATTTTAGAAAATGATAATATTTGGAACTAACCTAAATCTCCACTGGAGCTTGATTCATGCAATAAATCTAATTCAGCGAGTAATTTTATGTACAATGTAGAATCTTTAAAGCCAGACAGATAAAATTCATTTTCTAAAGATTCATACACCTATAAAAAATTTAAATAGTTTTTTTTTACAAAATCTTTTAACAGATTCATAAAATATCAGATAGCTAAGAGCAATGTTTAATTTATGATACAAAGACAGTAAAAATCTGTTATAACAACAATTTATAACAGATGAAATTGTTGCTTAATTATTTTACATATTTAATCATACATTTCAAACAAATATTCATATTTAATGTTAATATAATTATGAAACGTAGTTAAAATCGGTTATAACAACAATTTATAACAGCATATGAAATTATCGTTTATTTATTTTACATATTTAATCACACATTTCAAGCAAATACTCATATTTAATGTTAAAATAGTTATAAAAGGAATAAAAATTGTAATAGACATATTGACCTTTTTTTTTTCATTTTGAATAATAGTGAAAAGTATACATTAATTTTTAATAGTCAGTTTTCAACATGTTAACAACAAAAGATGCATTTTTTTTAAGTGTGAAGCACGATTTTTAAAAATAGTAAAGATTTATCTTTCATTAGGAAGAAAAAAACTTATCTGGAGATTGCCTACAATTTGTTTTATAAAAATAAAGAGCTAAAATAAAAAAAGAAAATGTTTGATTTCTGCTTTCCTGTATTGATATTAGAACAAAATAAAAATGTCCACCATTTAAACCTTTTTCATATAATATTATTTAAATTGCAGAAAAAGTATCATTAATGCATTGATTTATGAAATCAATTTCAAGCATGTTTTTGTTTACCTTCTCTTGAACTTCATCAAAGCAGTTTTCATTGATAGTTTCAGTCTTTAATCTAGATCTTAGCTTCTTAAGTATATTTTCATCTAGAGTTATTTTTGAAGAAACCTTAAAAATACACATAAAATAATCGTTATAACCCTTAAAAATATAGTTAAACAGGAAAGTATATATTAAATATTGACAGAACTTAATAAATTTTAATACAGATCTTAATATTAGTTTCTTATTAAAGAAATAACAAAATATAAAAAATGAAACACAAATTATTAAATTAATAGACATACTTAATTAGAAATTGTAAAAAATCATTTCAATTCATGCTCTTAATATTAGTTTCTTATTAAAATAATAACATATATAAAAAATTGAAACACAAATTATTTTATTAATAGAAAAAATCATTTCAATTCATGTAAACTCAACTCACGTCTGGTCCCAAATATGAGTCATAAAGTTGTATTGCTAAAACTCTAAGTTTTTCTATTGATTCATCTCCAATACTCGTATTTTCAGCTTTCATCAATTGGACAGTGGTTCTAAATCCCTATAAAATATATGAAAATTTAGATGAAATGATTTTTAATAGCATGAGGTACACAGATAATATTTTTAAAAGTTTTAGCTAAAATAAATTAAGAGTTAGATATTAAATAAAAGACAAATCTGATTTATTTACCGTCAATGTATTTATTATAGTTTTGTATTATAATAGCAAAAAAAAATATGAAGCAAAAAGTTGGTAAAATTTAAACCAGAATACATTTAGAGATTTTATTTTGATAGGTCAAACATTATGGTTTCCATTCATTCTCTATTATAGTGTCTATTATATCTACTCTCTATTATATCTAACTATTATAGTCTCTATTATATATATTCTCTATTATATCTACCTGAAGTAAAATGAATAAAATAAAATTTAAAAAAAAACAACACTCTGAATAACTCTATCTAATGATCAGGCATTCACATATTTGCACTTAATCTAAATGATTCAAGGGGGTAACCTCAAATATAGTGATTAATTTGTGCAAATGATATTTTCAATTACAAAATCAGACACAAAAATGTATTTTCTTGGAACAAACAACTTTTTCCGACGGATGTGGATTTCTGACCTTCAAAATATAGGGGTAGTTGCAATCAGGGAAATGCTGTCCAATGATTGGGTCAAAACAGTGGTCCTCCTGCGTTGATTCTACTTTTTGCATATTTCATAATTTTGTGGGAATTTTTGAATAAATCGAATTTCTTTTTACACACAATTAGAAAATTCGTTTAACCAAAAATAATCCCAAGAAAGAAAAAAATATTACTTTTTATAATTAGTTGTTATTATTATTATTTGTTGTAAAGTTTAAAAATTTTTACATTATTTTCAAGAAAGTAATTTTATAAAGCAAAATATAAAATTTGAATGAAATCTGTCCAACAGTTCCTGAGAAAATTAATTTTAAATATACAATTTCTTAAAATTCTCATGAATTATTTGACCAATTTCATTCAATTTTGTATTATGTTGAATAAAATAACATTCTTTAAAATTATGTAAACATTTGCATACTTTACATTTCAAACTTTTTTAACTATTATTAACAAAACAATAAAAAATGGTAAATAATTATTAAAAATTACATTTTGCATTTGTAACTATTATTTGGATAAAATAATTTTATAATTGTCAGTAAAAATTTTCTGACTAGCTTGAAAAATTCCAGATATATAAACAATTTTTTTAAAAGCTTTAAAATAAATTTTTAAATAAAGTTTTAAAAAAAAAATTGTTTTTTTTGAACTTTAAACAGATTTTATTTAAAAAAATCTATCTAATTTTTGAATAAAATCAGGGTTAACTTGTTTTAATTTTGATGTTTTTTCTCAATTCATTAAAAAGTTATTTTTATACAAATGCAAAACTTTCTTAAGCAATTTTTAAACTATTTTTTATTTTGGGTGCAAAGCAGGGAGTTGTATATATACTATTTGAAGGACACATTTCGCACCTGGGTTGTAGGTTGTGCACCTCTACAAAACATAATAATCAGGACAATTTTATAAGCTTCTAGAGTATCATGTATTGCATTATAACATACAATTACAATAGTATAACAATATATGAAATAAATATATTAAAAGAATAATTGTCTAGCCATTTGTAGGCTATTGTCATAATAAATTTTTTATACGCTAATAAACAATTTTCAAATTTGATATGGGTAAACCTTAAACTAATGCAGATTTTGGTTTTGCATTTTTTCCTTAAATAGAAGAATGGCAATTAGTTAAATTTAAATTTTCTTCAATATAATAATAATAAAAAAAAAAACAATTTTGCCAATTTTTAATTCTTTAAATAAAAAATTAAAATGAGCTTCAAAGTTTTTTAGTAATGGATAATAAGTAAAGCAAAAATTAATGGATTACTCACCTCAACATTATGGTAAAAAAATACATAACCTTCAGTATTAAGGTTAACCAAGTATTCTGAAAAAACAAAATTGTTATTGCAAATGTCAAAAAAGCTAACAAGCAGTAATTAAAAAATATTTAATAAATTACATAGCATGCATGCAATCATATAACATAATGGACACAAAAGTGTAAAAGTTGTAAACAGAAAATTTGTCATTACCAAATACATTGAAAAAATTGTTTCAAATCGTATTCGACATTCAGGCATCAAAAATTGAATGGAAAGCGTAGACTGTTATAAAAATAGTCATTAAATGTTTTTGATTCACTTAGACTTTAGATATACAAAGAAGTTTAAGGCAAAACAAGCAAACAACTGGCTTTATACAGTAAAAAAACTGCTAAATTTCAAGAAATATATCCTGGTAGGTATAATAATCAATATGGAGTTTTAACAAATTAGAAAATCAGTGATTTTCGAAAATTTTTTGTTAAAGTTAGTTTAGCTAAAAGGTTAAAATTAGCTACAAGAGTCAATAAATTTCTTGCAGTTTGTTTTTTATTTGAGATTTTGCGTTTTTTGCAGAAAGTTTCATTTCATTTAAGACTGCAATGCAATATAAAAATTCATATACCATATTAATACATATCAATATATTTATTCTCCTAAGGTTAAAGTAAAAGCAATATTTACCTCTATACATGTATAAACATTGTTAACAATCAAGTAGTTAAGCAAATGCACAAATTTAAAGAGTATTTCGCTCATATATTTTGTTTTTCAATCTCACTATATGGAGAGACTGATTTTCCAACGTGGTGATAAGTTCATGGTGAAATGTGACTTTCAACGCACAAGAACAGAAGACATTTACAAAACTATTTTCAAAATGTAATTTAAAAACCAAAAGGATTTGTAACATATTAATGCTATAAGAAGAGAAGCCATAACCTTCTTTTTAAGGCTATAACTGTATTTTTACAACTTTCCTCCATTATTACAATATGTCTTAATTGAAGAACTGAATAGATGAAGTTTTAAATGCCATTTTAGTGAATTAGAGTAAATTAGCTTTAAAGGTTGACAAAAGGTAATAAAATCTTCATTTCTTATTTGCAAGTTTACAATTAAAAAATCTATAGATCCCTAACACATATTTAAAATGTTTGTGTAATAGTGTTTTCAAATTTCAATTGAATTTTCTGTCCAAATGGCAAGCTTTCTATGACTACTCATTTATTGTTTGTAAACAATATTGGAGTTTTCTTGGAATTTTCTTTCACTTCAAAAACAATCAAATATTGTCTTCATTCATCGTGATCTGCTAAATTAAAGAAATTAGCAAAATAAATTATATAGTTAATTAAAACTAAAATGAATAAATTATCTAGTTAAATAAGACTAAAATAAGATTCTAAATTTGTGATATAGTGAATACTGAGTGGAAGTACCTTTAATATAAAATCATCTTTTATAAACAATAGAATTTTATGAAATAAAATTACTTTAAAGTCATATTAAATTATTATTTTGGTAGGAAAAAAGAAGACAGTTACTACTTCTATAAGATGAGTAATGGGAACAAAATGGTGCAAAAAAGAGGATGAAGTTAGTAGTACAGAGAGAACTTACGAGTGAAGTAGTGCAAGGCAATATTGTTATTTAATATCACATCAAATGGAAGAGATACAAGCTTTCTCTTATTTTCTAAAATTGGTGAATCAGTTACATCACTAACCTAGGATTAAAAATAAATAAATAGGGAGTATTAAAAAAATATGGGATAATTGCAGGATTGTTTTAATTATCATTAGAATTTGAGTAAAACAGTATGTAAATAGAGAACTATGGTGCATTAATTTAATTAGGAGGAAAATTAAGTTAAAATGTTTGAAAATATAAATAAAAAAGTGGCAAAAAGTAACCATGTCACCTATTTGTAATGCATCATGGAAAATGGGCTACGTCTTGCTGAAGTATGCATATTTTTTGTCGTTTAACTAAATTATCATTTTCTCAATTGTTATCATTAACTCATTTAATCTTTTTCTCTGTAAATAAAAATCATTCGTATAATTCGTAATTTCTTTAAACCCCATTTCTGAATTAAGTGAGTGCAGAAAACTCTATTTTTAGAGATCTAAATCTTCCTAACCCATTAGAATAGAATCTAAAAATCACATGGCTTCTAAATGTTTCGATTTTATTAAAAATCATTAATATTTCTCACACTTTCTTTTCTGCCAACTCATTTGAATGTGCAAGGCTAATAAAAAGAGCCTTGGCAATAAATTAAAAGCAATTAATAGCCAGCAGAGACAAGCCCAACAGGACACCTCTGTCCACCAAGAAATCAAAATACAAGTCATAGAAAACCCATTTTTGAATACCATGCTGATGTATTAGGAAGATGTACATATCTAAAAAAAGATTTTAATCAGCACTCAATTCAAGGTTGTGGTATAAAGAGTTTTATAAAATGTATTTTAATTTACTGAGAAAAAGATTAAATGAGATAATAATTCAGTTTTTGAATGTTAAGAAATATGTAAATTATATTTCAGCATGACATGCAGGTTACTAGATAGAAAATTGTATGAATTTTTTTCCTATGCAAAGTCTACACTGTACATAACCATTTCAGCAGCTGGTTTTTTAAATGAAAAAACATGCTATGACAGATAGTATATATAGTTTCAATTTAGTATAAATTGCTAAATTTGTCTATAAATCGAATTCGAGTATTATATGTTAACAGAAACCCTCTTAATATCAAAGAATTCATGAATTTTGATGAAAAAATTAAAATGAATTATTAGAAAGTATTTCTGAGAAAAACCTAAACATAATCAAATAATTATGTTTTTGAAAACATGCCACAAACAAAAAATTATACACTTACTAAATAAAACTCAGTAGAGTCATTTTCTGCTTGTTTGGAGTGGCCTAATAATTTTTCAAGTCTATGTTGAGCAACTGATTCAATGTAAGAAATGCTTTTCAGGTACTTTTTAATTTCTGCAAGGAATTTTTACAGCTAGTTAATATATGCGATGGAGAACACATAACAATATTATATACCAAATAACTATAAAATTTTAATATATTTCTTTAAAATTACATTTTATTTCCCACATGTTTTTTACACAACATTAAAAATCATAGTTCCATCGAAAATACCATTGTTCTTATTTCTTAGAAATAAACATAAAAAGGTACATGACATTGTATTTTTAAATCAGTTTTCAACTCCTGGAAAATGCAAATTTTAACTTGCGCAATGCTCATAAACAGTAAAACACACTCGCAATATTCTGTCATTGGCAAAGAGGGTCATTGAGATAAAGACTCCACAATTTTAAGACCGACTGTATGATAGTGGCAATGTAGTTGACATTGCATACCTGTCACTTTTACTTCTCAGGATATCTGGATATCTTTTATAAGGGTAGCTCAATTCCTCAATCACTGTGATGTTGTTCAAACATAACAAAATAAATAAGAGATAAAAAAAATTATAGAAAAAAAAAGGAATCAATAATTTCTTAATAAGTTCAAGAAATAAAATTATTACTTTTTATTTATGCTAATTAACTCTTTTTTCTCTGTGTAAGACAAAAATTAGTACTAGAAACTTTGTTTCAAGAACGCATCTCAAAATATATATTTAATAAACTTCATCAGGACCTTAGCAAAATAAAATGAATCCAAAAATCATATTACATCATAATGCATTAATGTAAATTGAATTAGCAAAATATATTCAGAGAAAATCTAAACAAGGCTGAGGGGTTCGCAGACTAAGTCAAAAGTAGCCCACAAAGCCTTTAGCTTTGCCTCTGAACTCCCTTAAATATTAATAAAAATATAAAAGTAGAAGAATATTGATAAAAATAGAAATAAATAGCAGACAGATTTTTTTCAGCAATGTCTGCAACTGATCTAGTTCTCAGCCTTTATTAGAATGTAATCATTTCATTAAGAAAGTACGCAATGGGTTTATTGCTGCAGTTACTTTTAAATTGTGCAAATAAATTGAAAAAAGACAATTTCAAACAGGCTATTTTGCATCTGGAGCAAGAGTTAATTTTAGCATCCCTTTTCCCATATGTAGACTACGTAATTTATTACAATAAAGACCATAAATTTACAAAACCACATTTTTCTTATGGACTAAAATAGTTAGTTAGTTGGTGTTTTTAGCACAAGAGTTAGAAATTGCAATACCACACTATGTTAATAATTACAGCATTTTGTTAATATCGGCCCCCAACACAGCATTTTGTACCCCATAATGATTGTGCATGGCAGACTTACATTACAGAATGCATCAATAAGAATTCAACAAACAAAACACAGAGAGAATCTTCACATTTATAATTATGTTGCACCAAAATGTATTAATAAAAATTCAACTAAAGAAACATATTCAGAGAAAATCTAAAAATATCAATAGCTTGAAAATTCATTGTAAAAGATAATGGATGCAATTGAGCATAAAATTTTGTTTTAATAGTTCTAAAAAATTGCAATTAAAATTATAATACTTTACCATCTTTATCCCCAGCATCTTGGGCATTTTGCACTTTGTGCTCATGCTTTGATATCTGAATGAAAGCTTTAAGTTCATCTTGATTGTCTGTTTTTCTTAAAACATTCAAAAGTGTTTTACTAGTTACAATGTAATCTTTACACTAAAAAAACAAACAAACTAAACATTAAAAACAAAACTCAGAATTAACAAGCAGAAAATCTTGCAAACATTAACTTACTAAGTATATTAAGTTCTGATTAATTTCATCTGGATCAGAAAACTGGTAAATTAAAGGCCTTAATACTGAAGAAACAAGTATTTCCTGAAAATAATTTGTTTCAGTCATTAATTGATAAGGTAGCATGAATCAAGTTCTTTTTAATTTTTATACACACTATCAAATAAAACGTTTAAAACATGAATAAATCAAAATATTGGATAAAGCAAATAGACTATTTATGCATGCATAAGGTTTAATCAACTACTTTAATGTCTCGAATTAGTTTGAAGTAGAGGTTATAAAAATCCAATGTAATATTTTTAATAGGACACAGGCGATGTATTCAGCATATAGGAGCAAACCAAAATGAGAGCTTGTTTCCTAAGCATTTAATTACAAACACAAAAATGAAAATTTTTTAATGGTGCTTTAAATTTTATTTATTTTAAAACTGAATCCAATAGTTCTTTTCGAAATAAATCATTTGCTTCATATGAATTTTTTAATAAATATAGGGAGATGGTTTAAACAAACAAACAAAAAAAAAAGATTTAAAAAAAATTAGTTAAAAAATAAAGATTTTTTTCAAGGAATATAAAAAAATTAAGAATGATATTTAGAGAAACATATTTACCCTGATCATTTTTCTCAAAAGATTATTATCAAAGGCTTCAGGAGGTAGTAATAAATATAACACAGTATCACATACATTTTGAAGATATTCTGAAATGTTTAAAACAAATCACTTTATTTAATTAAGAGGGATAGTAAAAAGATTTAACAATAACATCTCCAAGAATAATATTTACAACTATATAATTTAATCAATAGGAACAATAGTTATTATTCATATTGAATTAGTATATAAAATAAATATTTATTCAATATGAATTTTAAAATATAGAAAAAACAGAAGATAATATAGAATAAACAGGATAGAAGATATAGAATAAACAGGAATAAGATTCTGCTAACCACAACTTGAATTTTTGTTTAACAAAAAGTAACCACTGTATTTGTGATAGATTGCTTTAATTAGGACCTCAATGTTTTTTTTATACCAATCAGGGGTCTGGTTACGTTTTTCTAAGAGGTACCAAAAGGTATTTTGTGAAAATTTAGACATAATTTGTGAATATTAAAAATTATATTAAAAAAATGAACACAAAAATATGGTAAAAATATGAGTTTACAAAAATACGAGATATTCTTACGAGAAAAAAAAATTATATTTCAAGAAAAATTATTTTTCCTAAAGTTGAATTTGTGAATGTACAGCTAAATGGTAGTAAATTTGGCCTGGGCAGACCCCTGCGAATTATTTAATAAAACAAGCAACACTTTAGTAATCCCACAAAATAATTAGTGGGATTAGAAAAAAAAAACATCGAAATAATGAGTAAAAAAATCACAATAATTCAAGAACCTTTCTAACTTTTAATATTATAGAGATATTTACGATTTAAAGATGAGCTGATAGAAAAATAAAAAAACTGAAGCATATTTAGATTAATTAGACTTCAAATCAAAGTATAGACAAGCATAATAAGAACAACTCACAATTAAATCAATAAATATAATGAAAGAATTTTCTGCCTATTTTAATAACTTTTAAACTGTGGAAAAGACTTTAGTTCTTAATTATTTTTCTACCAAGCAAATAATTTACATTATGTTATTCAATGGAAAAATGGTACAAATTCAATCAAATCAAAAAGTAAAGTCAAAATGCAAAATCATACTGGTTTATTGAATCTGTTTTATTAAGACTAATATACAATAAGACAGAGAAAATAATATAATTACATTGCTTGTAAGTGTTACAGTAAAACAGTTTTTTTTTGTGAAAAGACAACATTTTATAAAAAGAAGACAATATGTAAATCAAGAATTAAAATTGATATAAATACATACATATGCAGAGCAACACCTATACATATAAATAAAACGACAAGGATTCATTACAAGTAATGCAACTAAACTATGTTTTTTTTTCTAGGTGTTTCAAATTGATCGGATAATTCTATTTCCTGTTGTTGAGGTTAATATTATGTAGCTGGCTAAAATATCAAAAAAGTTAAATCAAGCTTACCCATTTCATGCTCTGGAGAGCAACACACATTTTCTCTGCATATATTTTCTCCATGATTAAATTCTTTTTCAAAAAATAGTGCTTCTATACTTAAATTTCTATTAGGATCTAGAAGAAATAAAGAATATTTGTGTCACAAGTCGCACAACATACCTTTCATAATCTGTTTAAAATAAAACTGAAACTCACTTTCTCGTTGCCTTCGACGAAATGAAGTCTCGGCATGGCGATATAACCGCAAATGACTAGTAAAACTTTCAACAACTTGGTGAGTTATAAAAGAAACCCAATTGACTTCTTTAGCACTAAAAATATGAAACAACGTAAGAAAAAATTTATAAAATGAAAGGAAAAAACATTGGAAAACTAATACAAATATGTTGAATTGCTCAAAATATTCACAATATTTTTTGTTTGTTTCAGAATTGACGACATACTTTAGCATTATTACCTATACAGAAGAATTTTCTTTAGACAGATGAATTAATTCATTTTCAAGGTATTTATTGCTATGGAGATTACAGGGGGAACCTTTATAAGTTGTCAACTTGCGGTGCATTGCTTTTCTGATCAACTTATGGAGAGGATTTTTTTAATAATTTTTTACATCGTAGCATTAATATAACCAATTCAAATAGACAAATGTAATTAAAGTTTTAAAACAAGACTTCAAAATTTTATACAGCATTAAAAAGAGGCTAATCACTAGAAGGAATTATTATTTGTTACACTAACTTATTATTAAATTAATTTGTTCAGAGCAAATATCTATGCATCTTTGTTCTTTTATAAGCATGTCGGTTATTAGTAATAAAAATTTTTGTAAAATATCTATACACAAGAGCTTGTTCAACTAGAAAATTTATTATATTCCCTCCAACATTTCAAAATTAATTTTGTTACATTTAGGCAATAAATTTGTAGCTTATTACAAAAGAACAAAAGCTTTTAAATTTTTCTTCATATGGTCAACTTATAAAGGGTTTATATTAGGTTTTGGTTCCTTTTTAACACTATTTGACTAATTCAGTGAAATTTTAATAGATAATCTAATTGCATGATAGTATTCCTAAAAGAAGTTTTTTTTCTTCATCTTTTAGAGAATTTATGAAATGTTCAGAGTATCAATCAATAACACTCTTAGACATATTTGATTTATTAGCCAACATTTAAGAGAGACAGGAGGTGGGTTATAAGGATGTTCTATTTGGAAAGTTTCACAGAACAAACATATTTTGATAAAGCCAGAAGTGTCATTTTAATAACGTAAAATAAATTTAGATTTGTAATTTTTTTAAAAATATTCTTGACTGATATCAATCACCATTATACCAATAAAATCAACTAAATACCAATAAAAGTTTAATTGCATTTAGTAGAGAAAAAACTTAGCTTACAAATTATTAAATATACAAAAATTTTATATTTTACCTTTTGGAAAAATTATTGATGATAGTTTTACACATTTCATTGAAACCATCAAGGAATTCTTCATTGAGAGATATTTCTTGATACCAAGTTTGTATAAAATCTCTAACAATATTGGACAAAATCTAAAAATATAACATTGAGAAAGAATAGATTAAAATGCTTTAAAAAAATGAAAAACATCAACACAACACTTAACAATAATAAAAATTTAAACCCTGTGTTAAATTTTATGGTATTCTATCAGATTAAACAGATCAAATAAATAAAGTGAAACAAGCGACAGTTAAAACTATCAATATTATATACAATGATCAGATTTGTTTAGTAAATAGACTGAACCTAAATACCAAAAATAATTGGTAAATAGATAAATTAAATGAAATATAGATGAATTATTATATCTCTATGTTTTTGGTATGAGATTTAGTTCTAGTGAGGGTTGATTTCATAGATTTAATTTTAATAAATATGAATTGGAATGAATTGGAATAGTTCTAATATATGTTTTGGCATTAAGAACAGCTATTTCTTTTATTATGTTTACTACATACAGGGATGAGATTGGCCAAAAGGCAAAAAAGCTGAATTTTCACGGGACTAAATCTTATGTACGTGCAATTATTCCATAATAAAATCCAGACGATTTAAGATAATAAATAACTATGTGTTGATATAAAATTAGTTGTGTACTAATTTATTAATAGATGAACAATTACATCGACACTTAACATTTAGTAAAAAGTGAAAAGATAAAGCTGGAAATTTTTCTTCAGTCACAAAGGAGTCAATTATTACTGCCTAGTTTAGAACACTAAACTACTGAGAACATACATTAACATTTCATTTTTTTTAATAAATACTATTACGTGATTTACAGCAAAAATATCAGTAACATATTTTCATCCAGTTTCGCTGATGTTGTAAAGCCTATATATATATATATATACCAATAATAGTTGATAGAAAAAATGCCACATTTATAGTAACTAAACTAAACTCAGCAGCGCGACAGCCCATAGAGGGCCAAGGCCTACTGTGCCCATCTCAGTTTTCTTTATTATCTATTCTTCATTATCAAGTTCATTATCTAATCTAGACCTATAATATAATGTATAATTTATCATATAATATATCATATCATATAATATAATATATCATATAATATAATATATCATATCATATAATATATCGTATCTTATCATATAATATAATATAATATATCATATCATATCATATAATATATCGTATCTTATCATATAATATATCGTATCTTATCATATAATATNCGACAGCCCATAGAGGGCCAAGGCCTACTGTGCCCATCTCAGTTTTATTTATTATCTATTCTTCATTATCAAGTTCATTATCTAATCTAGACTTATAATATAATGTATAATTTATCATATAATATATCATATCATATAATATATCGTATCTTATCATATAATATAACATATATAATATATCATATCATATAATATATAATATCGTATCATATAAAACTAAACTCAGCGGCGCGACAGCCCAAGAGGGCCAAGGCCTACTGCGCCCATCTCAGTTTTCCTGACCTTGGGCTCTGGGGTGCAGGAGCAGATGTTCCGACCAGGTGGTTAGCCAAACGAGGAACCCTCAGTGTTTAGTTCCCAAGCATGCTTGGTACTCATTTATCGACCCACTGAAGGGATGAAAGGCTGAGTCAACCTTGTCCGGCCCGAGGATCGAACCTGTGGCTGTATGGTTGGCGAGGGACCTGTGGCACGACAGCGTTACCGCTCAGCCACCGGGCGTCTTCATAGTAACTAATTCAAGAAGAAAAAAAACTTACTCCGTATAAGAATTGCAATAAAGGATTTTAAAATTGCGTGAATATGAATCACAATTTTTTTGAAATCACGTGAGTATGAAACTCCATATTGAATTTCAAAAATGTGAAAATACAAATCACGATGCCTAATTTTTAGATCGCGTAAATACGAATCACAATGCATAATTTCTAAATCCCGTGAATACCAATCCAAAGCCTAATTTTTAAATCATGCGTAAATACGAAAATCAATGCTTGTTATTACAACCGCATAAAGGAATCGCATGACATTGGATTTCAACTCACACGAATACGAATTGCTACATAGATTTAAAAAAAAAAAAAACAGCGATATAAACCTTGTAAATAAGAATTGCAATAATTGCATGAATAAGAATCACAATGAACAACTTTTAAATCAGGTAAATAAGAAAATCACTGTTTGATATTAAAATGCAGCGACGTCTGAAATACGAAAATATAAAGTACCTCGCGGGCGGGTAAAAATACGGAAAATCTTATTTTCTGAACGTAAAAGTGGAGAAAATAGTTAAAATTATTAAAAATGTGAAAGGGTTGGCAGCTACATAATTTGAATTTTCTGTGTTTATCTTTATAAATCGGAAAGAAATATAATTATTTTACTTCAACGGCTGAATTTTCAGAAAAACGGAATATTCATAAAAAAACTGAAAATTGGAGTTTTTGATAAAAAGGCTGAAATTTGAGAGACAAAAGCGAAAAAGGCGGATTTCCACTAAAAAGTGGAGAAATCTCATCCCTGTACATAAGAAATATTTTTAATTTTATCTTTAAAACAAAAATTTTTATCTTGAAAAAAAATAGTAAAACCGACTTCTGAACATGTTCTTTATATATTTTTATTTTCACGTCGATTGTGTGATTGGAGGGAGTTCTTATAAAGTATAAATCGCTGTATAATTTATGCATTTTTTGATACAACTAACAGCAGATAAAAATTGTAAAGTTAAACAAAAAACTTAACATTTGTAAACTTTTATATTTATAATTAAATTTGTAGCACTACCAAGATATAGTTTGAACTTAATTCTCAAATGTTTCAAATTATAACTTTAAAAAAAAAAAAAAATTAAACTTTCAAATTCTTGAAAAAAAATTGGAAATGTTTTTTGAGTTTTTCCTAACTTATTGTTAAATAAATATTTGATTCATTATCATAATGCATTTTTTTAAAAAGGTTTATTTAATAAGTTAGAGCATAAAGTTTAAAAAATAAACCATTGAACCTCTAAAAACCGAATAACACATAAAGTAAAAAATGAATACCTGTCTTAACTGATCATCAATCTCTTTAGAACCAGTAAGTCGTTGGTCAACTTTTGGCAGATCAGATGAATCTTTCATTTGATAAGCAATCTGAAGAAAAAAAGAAAGACAATTATATACCCACAGTGACCACAAGCATTCAGAAAAGAAGAAAATAATGCTTGTTTTAATTAAATTTCTCTGATTATTTTCCCTGCTTCAATATAAATTTTATTTTTAATGTTTTAATTCTGTCTCATTTCTGATCTCAAAGAGTCTTTTTCTTGTGAGGATGTTGAAAAGTTAAAATTTTTATTATTGATTTCAAGAATAAACGAATAAAAAATAAAAATAATTTAGGCTGATGGTAAAGAGGTAACAGATGACACCAACTATTTTTTTTTCCACACACCCTCACAGTTTTCTTGCATGCTCACATTACTTTGAACTACAATTGAAAGAAATGAAATTATTATTAATTGTAATTAGATCGACTTTTTGTGATTATAATTATTTGAAAAAACAGCTCAGCACCATGAAAATACTCAGTTGCCAAATAGTGCTTTTAACCATGCAACTAAAAATTTAAGGAAAAAAAAAATGTTTTGTGCCGTCAACCTGTAAGTTCTTCTTAAAAGTTCTATAACAATCTGCAAATAAGTTTTAATCACAACTAAAAAACATGAAACTATTACTAGTGGCAGTAATTCAAACTGTTATTAATAATATACAGTAGAGAACCAATTATTCGGAATGCTCAAGATCATCGCCATCTCAGATGTCTAAATTCAACGGTTTTCTGGATAGCTGAAAAATAATTCAACACAGCTTAACTATGTTCCTACTTCATTACTGAATAAAATAGCCCTAATTTAGCCGTTTTAGTATACATATTAAAAATTCTATGTTTTCACTCTACTATTAAAGCTATTCATATAGTAAAGCATAGTTATATCATAGTATAGTAAAGCATATAATAAAGCAAGTATTTTGATATTTCCCCCTCGTAAATCGAAGCAATAAACAAAATCACTTGTTTCATCAGATTTCGTATACAAGATGCTGTTTTAGTTTTCAAAAATAATAAGCAAAAAAAAAAAAAAAAAAAAAAAAAAAAAAAAAAAAAAAAGGTCAAAATTTCTCCATTCTACCAAGCAATCAATCTGTCGGCGATTTATTTGGGAATCAATCTCAGAAATTTAAGCATAAACTCTCTCAACAACCTCTTGCTAAATCGCAATTTAGTTAAAACTTGCGCATTCTGCAGTTCAGCTTCATTAAAAATAATTCAAATACTTTATAAAAGATAAATTAAAATGCTTTTAATAAATTCAGTAACTTTTGAAACAATTTTGTCAGAATTCTTTGGAAACAAAAGAGTTAAAAATAGTTACAAGAGTCAACAATTTGCTTACAGAAAGTTTTTTAATTGAGATTTTGGATTAATTTTATTTACAGGGCAAGATCTTCAAGGTCAAAGAAATATCGAATTTTCTCTCTATGCATGCGAAGAAAAAGAATTCCACCCATCTTTCAATTTACTCTCTTCAGTTTCAAGGAAGACTCAATTATTCTATTAAGTTCAAAATGGCACGAAAACCAAGCAAATATTTCCCGGTTTTCTGGACACTGGATAAATGGTTCTGTATTGTGTTATACGATTTGTAAAAACAATTTATCATTGTAAAAACACCTTATCTTTAAAATAGATTACTTATTTAACTACATTACATGAAATGTCATTCGTAAATTAATTTGGAAAACTTCATTTCATAACTTACAATAAAAGCTGAAGTATATCTAATAACCAAATAAAATAAATCTTATAAAATTAGAAATTACAAAGATTATTATCACTTGAATGATACATAATTCTGTACTTAATTTATAAATAATCTTGAAATTTTAACTGACTTAGATTTGATTTATAATTGTTATAATTTCCTTAAAATAATGAGCATGTTATTTTAACACTCATTAAGTAAATATCATAAATAGAAACATTGTAAGAAATATGAACACAATTATTTTAAATTACAATAAAGTAAGACCAAACAAAATGAGTTAAAGTTAACTTGCACATCATAATTAAAAAGCTTAGCTAACATTTTGCACATATCTTAAAATTGAAAAGCAGAGCTTACTTATACATCACAAAATTGAAAAGTAAGGTTAACATATATCTTAGAATTTAAAAATGTTTAACACAAAACAGCACATAAAATAATATTCACACTTCATTTTTTTAATAGATTAAGCAATCTTACTTGGAGGATTAGACACTTCGACTGTTATGTATGATTAAAATGTATTAATATTTACTTTTGGTATTCCTTCAAACAGGCTGTAGGAACGTCCTCTGCTTGAAAGGGATGATTTGCGAACTGGTTTGACTTTTACCAGTTTTTCCATATAAGTCATAACAAGAATTCTAGATTTAAAAAACTTACTTATTTAAATATTTCAAGCAATAGTAATAAGGCATGAAACTTTTATAAATGATTAAATATATTACAGTGTCAAAACTTTGACGAATACATATTGTATAAGTGGACCAAAAAGTAATGTCATTTCGATGCATTTGATATTTGTTATTAGGATTTTATTTTTAATCAACAGTGTATTCACCCTTGTTAGCAACAACCTTTCAATGCCGGATCGAAAAAAAATAAATTGGTTTTCAAGACTAACGAATATTTAATGTGTTGAAATGACATTATTTTCCGGTCTCCCTAATATTTTCTTCAGATTTAAAACAATAAAGAGCTATTTCAAATTTTCAAAAAAATTCTCAGTTTAAGTTTGGTGATCATAACAGGTTAAACTGAAATCTCTTTAATGTATTTTAGTCATTTAATGGAATTAATATACATGCAGTTAGTAAATCCTAGATTTTTTAACTTTGCATCAAAAATTAAAGCCTTTGTAGAAGCTGAATAAAAAAAAAGAGAGATTATAATTCAACTTAAACAAATATGAATAAGTCCTTGCAAATTGATTTAAATCAAAGATTTGAAATAAAATCATTGATTTCCATCACAACGATCCTGAGTGAGGGAAATACATTTTCAAGAAGCATTGTGATTCTTGTATACAATATTTACATAACTTGAAAATTTTACAATTATAAAAGTTTTTACAAGACTATTGATTTGGGTATTAGAGCAAATATAAAGGTTCCTATGCAATTGGAAGAATAAAATTCTATGACTTTTCCGGAATTTTTAGATACATTAAAAAAAATTCCAATCTAATGTAGCAGAATTCACTAGCAGTGCAGTGAACAAAACATATAGTGAACCACAAAGAATAAATGTTTGCCATGTATAGATTATATTTTAAATTTTATTTTACTTAAAGTAAAATGGAAAAAAGAAGTTCCTGAACAGGAAATTCTTTTCTTAAAAATTTTGATGTCAACATCGCGTGCTTGGAATTTGCCAAATCAAACTATCTGACATTTCCAGATTTTTGCTCAGAAATGTAGAATGCCCAGACTTTTTTATAATTTACAAATTTACTGACTTTTCCAGGTTTTTACATTTATCCAGGTAGCGTAACAACCCTGAAATATCATACTGAAGTAAATTAATGTTTTTTTTAATGAACATAGATAGTTTCTGCATATTAACTACAGCAAATGCTTATCTCTTAATAACATTTACATGCATATTTACAACACACATAGTTAACAATACATAGATATCTACGGACACACTCTAACATAGAGAGTTGCACAGCCAAATATAATCAATCATTTTGCTGGTGAATTTAGTTTCCGTGCTTTCTTTCAAAACATATTTTGCCATCTAGGATAAGATAAGAGCTTGTAGCACTGATACTCACATTATAGGGAAATATTCAAATGAAGTAAAATATAGCAACACATATAACTCATTAAAAAACTTTAAAAATATGCAGATGGAAATGAAAGTAGACATGTTCCAAGCGCTCAAAAACAGATGCCCATTCTCAAGCGTTAATGACATTCCTGTTTGGCAATTTGGATGATTTGATGGATCATCTGTCATGTCTTGAGAATAGGTGCTTATCTTTGAGCGCTTGAAACAGCTCTACCTTTTCTTCCATTCACATATTTGTAAAGCCACTAAAGTTTTATAAATAATATTTCACTGCTTTAGTTTCTTGGAATTATTCATTTAATAGCAACATGTAATTTTGGGTTATAGTTAAACTCATATAGGTAGGCTGATCAGTGAAAACATGTAAGCAGGGGTCTGTCTTGGTTTTTCTGAGAGGTACTTTAAAATTTTAAGAAAAAGTATTTTGTGAAACTACCGTTTTCCCTAAAGTTGAATTTGTGAAGGTATCGCTAAACAGTAGTAAATTTGGCCTGGACTGATCTCTGGTAAGTAAAGATTATTATGAAACTACTACTTAAATTTTCTTATCAACTTATAAAGGTAGTATGTAGTACATGTTAAAGACAAATTTAATGTTTCAAAAAAGTCATTCAACTAGAGAATTTTGATTCAACAATTGGATTTTTCAATCAGTATTTGATCTTAAAATTTTCTAAAATTGTAATCACCGTTAAAAATCATCACATCATAGTAATCACAAATAATAACAATCTTACCCAGTAATTGAAGAGAATACAGATACTATTATGATACAACACATTGATAATCCAAATGTTGAAACACTTAATAACATCACTAATAGAAGCCAGCAGATTTTGGAAGCCATCTGAAATTAATGGAAAAGGTGTTAAAATAAGAGGGTTTCATAATAGTAATATTGTTCTAGCATTTTAGCAATTTGAAAAATTATTTAAAATAGTTTTAAATGTTTTTATTAGAAGTTTAAAAAACAAATATGTAATTCTGTGGCTACTGCTATATAAATAGTTATAGTAGGAGAACCAACAACTTGAAATTAACCTGTTTTGTGACGAGAGAAATTGAATTAATATTGGTTGAATGTAGAGCAAAGAATACAAAAGCTCGGAAAAACTATACATAAACACATAGGCATGACTGAATATAAATTAGGCATGTAACAAATAGTGTTTTTGCCGAATAGATAAAAACCGAATATTCGTCCGAAAAAATGGGCCAAATAACGAATAGTCGGCAACCAAGTAGAATTTTTTTTTTTAAAAATCCTTATTAAGCGTTAATTTTAAAATCGAAATAAGTTTACTCATAATAGAAAAATAATCAAAACATAGCAGTATTATTAGTATGGGGTGAAGGGAAAATAACTTGAATAGAAATCTTTTGATAATAAAGATAATTAGAAATATTTAAGATACAAAGAGCTGACTGACATCTATTAAAATATACTAAAGAAGTAAAGTAAAAAAAAAAAATCATCTAATTTTTAAAACAAAACTTAAATGCTTGATATAATATTTTACAAAAAAAAATAATAATAATAAATAATTATCCATAAGACATTAAAAGAGATGTCTATCAGAAATGTTTCTGAAATACAGCACTATTATAAAAATAAAGATTATATACAAAAGCAAAACAGAAAAAATAAAAATTGATATCAATTTTTGGAAGAAAATTTTAAAGCTAAACATTATAGTTTTCCCATTAATGTATTTTCAATAAAAAATAAATATTACAGCCTAATAGAAACCCTTTTAGTTGCTACTTCATAATAAAACAGTCTATAAAATCATAAGAAAATTTTTGAAAAAGAAAAAAACAAAACAAAAGATTTCAAGGCTAAAAATCTTAACTTTTTCAGAATGCCGTATTACTGGAAGAAAAGGACAATAAAATAATAAAGTCTATTAGAAGCTTAGTTAAGTTAATGCTTAGCTTTAGTTAAAATTGAAAAACAAGCACAAATGAAACGAAAAAATTTCTCAATTTTTAAAACTAAGAGTTTAAAAAATGATGAAATTGACTTGCCTGAATATAATTTAAAAAAATAAAAATCAGCATTATAAAACTCATGGTTCAGCAATCTAGTTTCAATTTTTCAAATTTAGCTTTCAGAATATAAGTTAGCAATTTTTATAACTTAACAAATATGTTTAAAAACTATTTCTAATAATGAGTAGTATAGTAGTAAGACATTGATTTTAGACTATTCTTTATTAAATCTTTTAAAATTTGTCCCAGAAATACTTTGTCAAAATTTTGTTTTTACAAATAATGCTTATGTAAAATATTGGACCAACCAGAACTTAGGCAAAAGAGCTGTTAAATAATTAAACATTTGAAATGAGACGATCATTTCCAAATATTGCAGCTCTATTTCTGTATATAAATGCAAAAATTTTCAGCCTTAATTATTTTGTAAAAAATTAAATTCGATATGTATGATAGCAATGTTTTTGAACAGCACTCTGAATTTTAGAAACACATTCCAGAACATATACGAAATAAATGCATACAGATTTTGAATCGCATATCGAATTTAATTTTTAAAAAAATTAAATTCGATACGTATGATAGCATGTTTTAAAACAGCATTCTGAATTTTAGAAACACATTCAAGAACATATACGAAACAAATGCATACAGATTTCAAAATAAAAGCACCACATAATTGAAGCAAATTGTACAAATTAATTTAATTAATAGTGTCAAGTGGGATTGTCATATTTTAATGTTATTACATGCTAGGATATTTTTTTTATTAGTTATTACATACTAAGTCAGATTGTAAAAGAATACCGAAACACAGTAAGCCTAATACGAATTAATGATGGTTGTACAAAACAATTGTAAATAAAATATTTAATTTCTAAAAATTACTTGAACAGTATGTTTAAATGTGGAGACACATAAAGGAAAAATTAAATAAAAAGTTCACATTAATCTAATCAACATCTGTGACAGAAGTTCTTTAATTATAAANTATATACTAATTTTGATTGTAAAAGAATACCGAAACACAGTAAGCCTAATACGAATTAATGATGGTTGTATAAAACAATTGTAAATAAAATATTTAATTTCTAAAAATTACTTGAACAGTATGTTTAAATGTGGAGACACATAAAGGAAAAATTAAATAAAAAGTTCACATTAATCTAATCAACATCTGTGACAGAAGTTCTTTAATTATAAACATAAACAAAACACATCGCACAACAGGATCTGGGAAACGCCCACTTCTGAGACTGCCATCTATCGCTATTAAAAGTAACGAAAACTACATCGTCATTAGAAATCAGGACCCTACCATACACACTAATAAAACAAGCTTGAGACAAAAGGTCACGCTTGGTCTATTTTAATTTTGGTTTAATTGTTTCCGTGTCCAATAGTTGCACACTAATGAGTTGTATTATTTTTATTTAATGTAATCATAATCTTAGCTAATATTTTTCTGGTTGGTATTGTCTATTTTCAAAGCAATACCACAGAGAATAAAAAATAATTAAAATTGTTCAAAGTGACCACCTCGACAAGGCGTAGGCAGTAGCGTATTCAGTTTCGACCAGGCATCGTTGGGTCATTTAAAACTTTTTTATTAGGGCTCTCACGTCAAGTATCGTTTGGTTAGGTCTGGTTATTAAGGTGACAATCACGTAGACGCGAGCATCGTGTCTTGCATGTAGTTTCCAAACTTTCACTCTGCGTCTAGGGCAATCGCATACAGTGGTCTCCAGCCCTAAACCTGCCAACCCTCTAGGTGACCACACACTTCAAGGAGTTCTGGGTATTTCTAGGAGCGTTGTCAATTCGTAGCAAACAACTCCTCGTGGGATGATCCTTCGCAAACATAATTCTTAGCTGCGATAGTTAGGCGCAACACTTCGTAATCGTAATGGCAATTCGACGAGGGTGCAAGGTACAATCCGTGGTAGACACAACTCGTCGGAACAAGAATTAGTAGTAGGAAGCCGTGATTGCTCAGAGGATAGAGCGTTCACTTACCAATGAGGTGAACCGGGTTCGAATCCCAACTAAGGCTGGTCGATACGAATTCCACATCCAGCTTGCACCGACCACAGTGCTGAACTAAAATATCAGATGGATCATGGGTGAGAATCTCCTTGCCATCTGGCTTACCATAGGAGGTTTTAGTGGTTTTACTCTCCATGTAACAGAAATGCGGGTAAGATCAAAAAGTCCTTCGCGAAAGCTAGTTTTAACCAATACTTGATCCAGGAGATTCCTTGTCTTCTTGCTTGGGCTCAAAATTACAAAGCTACAGAGTTGAACATCAGTAGTAAACTGAAAAAATTGGGTCAGCTGTTCAATGACGGTTATAAAACTCGACACAAGCACAACGCATCTCAGTGACAATCTGTTATAAGCACAATTTCTTGCGTTTTCGATGAAAAGCATCTTAGTATGTATATTAATTATAGTAATAAAATTGGTGTTTCTTCGGCAAAATTAACATCAAAAGTATGTTTTTGGTAGACAGCTTTGTTATGTCCACTCTCATAAATGATACATGAAAACTTCTCGACTATTCTCATTTGTACGCTACGCTTTTTGAAGGAAATGGGAGTGATTAGGTGTGTAGAATTGAATTTTTTCCAAACAGTTAAGTAAGGCGTTGTTTCTGATATATTTTTACGCTGAATTAAAAGAAACCTGCTACAACCTGCTGCTGGAGTTTATTTTGCTTATATATCTACCTATAATTGCAAAACTTTATTATCATTTATTAATTCAAGGTTCTGCATCAATTTGTCGAACACAATTAATCGTGAGCAGAACTATTTGCCAAGATAAATTCGTTATGGGCGAAATTCGTCTCGAGCACAATTCACTGTGGACACAATTCATCGAGGCAACAATTCTTCGTAGACACAACTCGCTGCGTCCCGCAGTGGACTGATCGTTAAGATGCGGTTCCCACCAGATCACCGAAGTCAAGTATCACTGGCTGCGGTCAGTGTGCGGGTGGGTGACCACTTGGATTAGTCTGCGTAAGGACCGAGGGTGTGCGGTATTGGTCCTCGTTAAACTGTTCTACCGTAAAGTGCTCGACTTCGCGTGCAGGTCGTCGGGCTACCAAAGCAGGGGAGCCATCCCCTCTGCAGAGGATCAATATTGTGATGGCATGTCTTCGGATCATCCTCAGGGTGGTTTCCCAGACCGTCGCCAATAGCCCATTGTGCAGCTCTAGTGCGACGTAAATGAACTACAACTACAACAACACAACTCGTTACAAGCACTATATCTTGCGGTTTCGATTAAACACATTTTAGTTTAGTAATCACAGCAATATAAATCCAGCAGTGGACTGATCGTTAAGACTCGGTTCCCAACAGATCACCAAAGTCAAGCATCACTGGCTGCGGTCAGTGTGCGGGTGGGTGATCGCTTGGATCAGTCTGCGTAGGAACCGAGGGTGTGCGTTATTGGTCCTAGTTAAATTATTTTACCATAAAGTGCTTGACTTCGCGTGTAGGTCGCCTGACTACAGAAGTGGGGGTGCCATCCCCTTTGCAGAGGATCAAAATTATGATGGCATGTCTTCAGATCATCCTCAGGGATGCTTCCTAGACCGTCGCCAGTTGTGCAGCTTTAGTGCGACGTAAATGAACTACAACAACAAGAGCAATAAAAGGCTGTTTCTTAAAAAAAAAACATTAAAAGTATTTATTTATTTTTAACAGGAAGCTTTGTTTGTCATTATAAATGACACTTGAAAACTCCCCTGTACGTTTCTCGCTTTTTTAGAGAAATGGGGAATGAGGCATTGTTTCTGGTGCATTTTTTTTTTAATGTTGAATTGAATGAAACCAATTACGAGATGATCGATAAATAGTTAAAAAAGTTATATGGGTTATTTGTACAAACAGTGCATATTTTGATTCGTGCCTATTCACGCATCTGACATTGATATCCAAACAAGTGAGGCATTGTTTACTATGTGGTTTACGTTGAATCGAATGAGACTGTAGAACAATTTATAGAATGAATAGTTTAAAAGTTAAAAGTGCTTTATTGTTTAAAAAGTCCTTCTATTGACATGTATTTATGTAACTTTTTACATTGATATCTAGAGGTTGTCAGAACATATAAGGTACATTTTCCGATGTAATTTTTTCTCATGTTGAATTGAATGAGATATAGTTCAAGTCAATAGAATAACTGGCTTTGAAATTATAAAGAGTTTCTTTACAATAAATATAATTGAAAAAAAAGTTCCTTTTATGCGAAAAAAATACCTGTTCAACCCTTTAAATTTAAATACCTTATTTCTTTTGTTCTTAGGCAACAATATCTCACTTGTCGGTATAACTGTATGAGATGCATACATAAGTGCAGGACCTAGATTGTTCTTTTAGTACATCATATTATTATAACTTCTTAACTATTTATTTTATCAATTACTGTTTTATCTCAATTAAGCATAAAGAATTACATAAAAAACTATACCTTTCATGTTCAGATAACTCTTGCATAGCAATGTAAAATGTGTACATAAATACATGTCAAAAGAAGTACTTAATAATCATAAAAATCCTTTTAAATTTTTAACTATTCGCAATTCGTTCTATTGACTTGTGCACAGTCTCATTCGACGAATTGTCACAACGATGAGTTGTATCACTGCGCCTTCGACACATTGTTTCCATGACGAATTTCGTTCATGTCCGCCCTGATAAAGTGTGCACAATTCGTACTTCTCAACAAATACGCAATTTTCCGCATTGCTATGTTTACTTTAAAATTTATACAAAAAGTAAATTTTGTTTTTAAAAATCCTCAAAATTCTAGTGTCCCCCCCTGAAAAGAAACATCCGTCCCCCCCCCCCCGAATTTAATCAAAGTTTTTTTTCTTCTACTTTTGAAGCACTGACTAAGCCCCGTAAAATTATAATCTTGCTTCTCACAAAAATTATGTGTAATTTTTAGTGTCCAGCTATTTATGTTAATAATTTTAGTTTATCTGGTGATATTCAATCTTTGCCTGGAGTTTTTTCGAGTAAGGATTCCATTTCATTGCTGCGCTGCTCAGTAAATTTTATAATTTTATTATTATTATTTGTAGATTTTGATATATATTTTTCTAACCGAGAGCCTATAGCCTTACTTATAATGATCTGTTGAAACTAATGAAATTAAGCTATATAAAGACAGAGGTTTAAAAAAAATTTATAAATTTCGCGTCAAACAACACTGGGTAATACTTAATTATTAGAATTAGAGTCTCTACTCTTAACAAATTTCAGTCGCTCATACGTGATATTTGCTCATTTTTTGAAATTAAAATTTTAAATATTTCTAAAAACACGGGATTTATTTCCAAATTTTGACACTTATTTTATAATTTCTTTTTTTCCTTCCAACTATAATTAAAAATTTTTTTTCAGTACATATCTAAAAATTATTTTAATTTTATCTTTATTAAAATTAAATATGTTTTTGAACTTTGTTCCAACTATGCTTCTCAAGCTAGCTCAATTTGAATAAAGATAATATTTGCTGAACCTTTTTAGAAAAATGTCTTAGTTTTGAAATTATTTTGTTAATAAATCATGTTTAAGAGAATGAAAAAGACAGGTTTGGCAATCATTAAATCAACTATCCTTATTTCGTTGTTAGAATGTTTTTATTGCGAATTAATATAAAAAAGTTATTTAGTTACTTATAATTTTTTGTTTTGTTGAAAAGTTAATTTTATTTCTTCAAATATTTTAGTTTTAACAATTTTCCCCCTCTCTGTTCGTCTATTAATTTCGACTATACGTCTAGGTGGGTGCTTTTACCTTTTATTCAAAGGATATATTTCATACTACATCATCATGTTCATTAATAAAGCAATTATGTTATTTTGCACAAAAAAATCTAAGAAAATATTAATACAAATAAAAAAAGTCATGTACGTCACAAATGTTAATTGATGTGATATCAATTAAC